CTCCAATTGTCGCACCAGACGATCGAGTTGCTCCTGCGTCAACGTGGCGAGATTAAAATCGGCCATGGCGGGGGTGTCGGGCAAGCTCAGCGAGAGCCTCGGTCGTGGCTGTGCGTGCTTGCGAGAGAGCACTACGAGCGGCGGTGCTGTATCGCTGAGAGACGTATACCCCCCCAAAAAATTGAGATAGTGGGAAGCGAAGGTGTGAATGCGGTCCGAGATGAGATCGTAGGCTCTGAATACCAAGTGTTACGAGTGCAATTGAGTGAACGAACGAGAATTGCACTATCGAAGCAAGAGTACAATGAGCGAAGGCATGAGCGAACAATATATAGCGAAACTATAGTGGTAACGGTAATGGTCGCGCGACGAGCCTGAGACTGAGGTTGGGAAAGTGTCGAAGCGTAGGCCCGGAGCGCGGGTTACCAGCCGAGCCGTGAGGTCGGGATGCGATGTGCGAAAATGGCGGGATGATGAATGATGCGATGGTCGCGAGTGGTAACGGTGCTGACTGAGGTGCTACAGTGATGTACGCGTTGAGCAGGGACGCGAAGTAAGGAAAAGGGAATTTCCTTACAAAATACTTGTATCCAACCTGCGGAGAACAATCGCACTCCCTCACTTCGTTCCGCCAAGTGCCAAACCGTCATGTGCTGCCAAGATTCTCGGAACCTGACAAACACATCGGCGAGGAGGGACCAACCAATGGGCTTTTTCGCTGCTTGGTGAATGTCACAGCGAGTGTTCTTGCCTGTTTTTGTGCCTCAGATGCCTTCAGTTCCTCCCTACCCTAAATCCCCCTACATTAAGTATGTTCAGGCGCGCGAAGAACTGGTTGATACGTGTATGTAATGTCCAAGCCTGATATTTCGTAGAATCAGTGTAAGCACGCTCGCTGTCTCCGAAACGTCGCTTGATCTTAGGGAGCAGGCTTTTCCAGATGAGCTTAGTCGGTGCTTGTTAACTGGGGATCACTCTCTGATCTGATCCAGCCATTAACTGTAGTCATGGCGACCAGATTAGGTTCTCTTCTTCTTCGTGCAAGAAAGCAGGTGTGTATCAGGGGCACGTAGCATTCGCGATCAGGCTGCGCAACTACTAATTCAGGATATCATCGTGATACTCGCAGGACTGGCCAAGACCTGGGACGTCCAGATATGCCTGGCTTCTAGAGAGACAGTTAGCCACAACTTCCTTAGGTATGGTGCGACATTTGCGATGCGGAGTGTTAGTCATATTCTGATACTGATTCTAGTGAAGTCTTGTGCAGGGGACAAACACGACGAAACCACCAGGATTCCTCTTATTAGTGCATCACAGGTTAGCTTCACCGCAATGTGAATGTGCGTGAAAATCTCGTAGAAAATCCCGATTCTGACCACGACGTGCTGCTCCTTTTCAGGAATCGGCGAGTCCTAAGCCATCTGCGGGATCAAAACCAAAGCTTCGGCCTTTGATGCCAAAAGCAGACGGCAGCCTACCAGAGGCCGTCAAAGTCGCTGCTAAGGCCTGCGGAGTGCAAAATCCGACGGTGAAACGAGTAGCAGAGGGCGTGACGTCTACCACACCCACAAGAGTTTTTGAAGTACCTGAGTTGATCGAAAATGACAAAGTGCTACCAGACATGTCTCCAGGAGTGGTGCCTAAGGGTTACATTGATCCGGTTATTCCTGAAGTCTGGGGTCGGGTCCATTCCATCGAGTCGTTTTCGGCAGTGGACGGGCCTGCCATTAGATCCGTAGTCTTCGTGCAGGTGAGCGACAAGTATCTCGCTTTTTTTCTTCTTGTTTGTGCTCTGCATATTATTGCACAAACGAGAAGCGGTGATCTCACTGTTGTACATGGAAAACAGGGATGTCTAAGGCGGTGTGTTTTCTGTGCCAACCCAGATACATGGAGGTCAGTTTCTTAAGCTTTTCGCTGCCTACTCGTTTCCGCTGTAGCTCATCCCTCATGCTGTAATTCGTCCGTCGGTTTTCAATTGCAGCGTGACAGCTAAGTCTCAACGGCTATCATCCAAAGACATTGCTGCGCGGTTGAAGAAGAACTTGGCGTATTATAAAGGCGGTGGTGGGGTGACTATTTCAGGAGGGGAGCCAATGATGCAGCCTCATTTTTGCAGTGCCGTTTTCAAGGAGGCTCACCGACTGGGAATCACAACAGCACTTGACACAGCAGGTAGCTTTAGGTATCCGCTATTGCTGCAAGGTCGAGCTTCCTTAACCAGTTTCCACGGTTTCCTTCTTAGTGTTGTTTGAGTCGCTCATTATTCATCTCATCATCTGGTTAATGCAGGATACGGCAGAGCCAAGGATTGGGCTGAAGTTCTTCCACACACTGACACTGTTCTCCTGTGCACGAAAGCAATGAACCCAAAGCTCTACTTTGACATGGTACAAGTGAAGCAGCAACTGTTTCTGGACTTTGCAAAAGCAGTGGGAGATTATGGCGTTCCTATGGTCATACGCTTTGTTCTGGTCCCGGGCATGACTGACACAAAGGAGGAAGTGGAGGGTCTTGTTGAATGGGCTAAGCAGCAGCCAACATTAGTCGGGATTGAAATGCTTCCATATCACAGGCTAGGGGTCAACAAGGTAAGACTCTGCTGTAGCACTTCATGCATTTGGTGGTGCATTGTTGCCGGCTCCATTTTGACATCCCATGTGTGTTTGTTCACTGTGCAGTGGGAAGCATTAGGATTGAAATATCCGTTGGATGGGATGGTGCCAAGCCCAAAAGAAGTCGTTGATAGTTGGCGTTCATACATTGCATTGCAAGGGCTGAAAGTGATGCTTTAGATTACCACACTTTTAGAGTAGTTGCTGTATAATATATGTAGGGGTTATTACTGTCAAATATGGGTTAAATTCAATATACCGTAATGCCACCATTTCCACTTGCCGAAGTGTGCTCTAGCTAGAATCGAATTTTCTGTTTCACCGAGCGACGCGCTGATGCATCTGTGGCCACAAGTTCCATTCCTGAGGTGGACGTTGGGTTCAGCTGACGCGAGTGGCCTTCTCAACGAATGAATGCACGTCAGCAGCATACCTTCACCGTCGATAACACCCGACCCGCATCCAGTGTTTTGGTATCTGGCAGACACAGACCTGCCTCTTGGGTCTGTTTCCCCTCCCTTGAAGTCATCGCCTTGAGATGAGTACTAGGGCGTGTGAGGTCTTTGTAGAAGTTCAGAATAAAGTTCGAACTTTGAGTGGTTACCCTCTTCGATGATTTCGCGAAGGGTGCTTCGGGAACCAAGCATTGTATGGGCTTTGCAAAAGTTCGAGTTTGAAATATGAACTTGACTCGAGTCGGAGGCGGGAACGTGCGTGCGCACGTTCATGCGAGCGTGTGTGATTTGCAGCACATCCGAACAGCTGGCGAAACGGGCGAGCGCTTCGCCAATGCATGAAGTTGCACAACGAAGACACCCCACAATTCGTGCACTGTCAAGACTCTCGAACCGGGTAACCTATAATTTTGATGTGCGGCTCGGCTCGTTTTTACAAGTTCGAATGTCGGGGTTCGACCTTGTATGTGTGTGTGATTTTTTACAGTGTGGTAAGCCCGATGTTCGAACTTCGATAGAAGGAAATTCGAACTTCTTTCGTTGTAAGTTCGAAACTAAAACACGCCCTAAAAACATAAACTTTTACAAATTTCAAAGACCTCACACGCCCTTATCTAGCTGAAATGAGTTCGTGAGAAGGATTGCTGAAAGCACCATTCATTGCTGCCAACACCTCGGCCTCCGCGAGACTCAAGGGAGCGAAGAACAGGCAAAGCCGCACTGTCTGCATAAACATCTTTTCCTTATTCTGGCATTTAGCTCGAAGCAGAGGTTTGATACATTCCTCCGTCATGCCTGTTCTCTCGATCACGGCTCTTGTTGCTGCTGGTCCTCCACCACCTTGTGTTTCAGCCCTCGGCTGCACCAATGTGGCTCCTGAATGTCTTGTTAACTCCGGAAAGACAGACCACCGCGCACCGCGACCCTGTAAGCGCCAGATTGACTCAGCAGCGCGTTCTCGACACGATCCGCTGCTAGTACCAGCTCGTGCCGCCCACATACTGCGAGCTGTGGTCAATGCGGACCGCGAAGCAGCTGCGACAGCTGGCCAGATAGAGCAAGTATCAACCAGCACCGAGCGAGTGGAGAAGGCTGAAGCGATAGCAGTGTCTGTCCCTTCGCCTGACAATGCCGTCATTTTGTCAACTTCTCGAAAATTTGAAGTTGTTCGCGTGACAGAGGATCCACAACTCTGGGTATGGCTGCTTGTAGCGGTAGACGCGCGGTGACGGCTGGCATCATCTCGTCGAAACATTCTGCTTCCGCATTTGCTGGTGTTACTTCAACTGACCAATGCTCATGTTCCCTTCGTTTACCCTGATGCTGCCAGGCAGCAGCGGCGCTTCGAGCAGATGCCTTATGTGAAACGGAACCGCATGTGAGGTGAGAGAAGGCGTGCTTTGTGTATGTTTGACAGGGCTTCACCCAGAACATGAAACCTGTAGCTTAGGTGGTCATTTCATCACTCGTCCGTCTTGCGAAACATAAAGGCGCGTGGCATTGCCTGAGACGCTCGTTTAAAGGGTTAATAGCAGCTTTTAGCTCCGTCTGCTCCTGACTGTGCTAGATGTCACATCTTTGAATTCTCAGCAAGGATTCCTGCCACATTGTTCCTCAAATTGTTTGCACACAGGTTCGTGGACAGCTTTAAAAAACGATTCACTGAACAGGTACAATGTAGAAGAGTAAATAGCGTTGCAGTCTAGGTTTCAGTCGGACGAAGCGCAACAGTTTTCAACTCCATGAAGCTTATACTTGCTGCACCATATGACTCATCTCTGCCTTTCTCTGATGCTCAATCCCTGTCTTCGCCCATTGTTGCTCATTATGCCTCTTTCTGTCTCTCACCACCCAGGAATTCCACTCGATGAAACGACGCATCAACGGGACCACGGGTCAATCTATCCGCTGCGTCTGCCTTGCTGCTATGCAGGCCGAACCAGACGACAGCGACAAGCAGCCATTCACCATTCACACGAATGGCTCCTTAATAAGGCTTGCTGAATTAGCAGAACCAAACAAAGAAGTAGCGGCTCTGGAGCACAGGTTGGCGGACACAGGAGCGGAGGCTGTCAGTGTGCCAAATGGAAGGAAGGGAGCAGGTGTAACAACTGGAACTGCAGCAGGAGGGGTTGCAGCCAAAGGGGTTAAACCGAGGTCAAAAATAACTGAGTTGGAGAGACTTGTGGGTACTCTTGACATCAGCCTAAGACGATTGGGATCAAATGAGATCTTTCCAGGGGTGAGCAACATACTTCTAAAACCGTCTGAACTAGTTTCCTGCAGTACCTGAAAGCCATCACATGAGCATGCGTCCCTGATATGTCCTTCCTTCATGCCCTGATGGTGCACACCTTGAACTCAGCTCAGCTAATGCTGCTCTTCCTTGCCCTCTTGCTTGCAGGTCGAGCGCCCTCACGAGTCCTCCAGCTTCTTGGTATCCCTGCCTTCCTCCGCCCTCACTGCTCTTTCCACCACGGCCAACGGCCTGCAAGCTGCTGTGAGCGACATACAGTCAGCTGTGATTGACATTGGGTCGGCTGCAAATAGCATCCAGTCAGCGGTGAATGGTATTGGGTCGGCTGTGAATGGCATCCAAGCTGAAATTCGCCGGTACCCTTCCAGCCTGCCTGCCTCTGCCTCCTCTCTCCTCAACAACGCCATCTCTGACCTCCAGGTATCTTCACAATCCCACATTGAATTTTACTTCTACCTCACATACCCGGATGGATAAACGGATTTGAGGCTTTCCCCATACGGTTCCACTTTCCCATCTTGATGTGTGACCTGCACTCTTCTACTGTGATAGTTAGGATGTACTAAATTTCCTGTTTTACTGGCTTGTGCAGGATGCATGGCAGGCAGTGGCGCAGGAGAGTGACGAGAGAGCTCGTCAGTTGACTGGCTTAGTGGTATCTGAAACCATGCTTCCGCAGCAAAATGAGAAGAATCGGTTGCAGCAGGCAGTCCAGCAGAAGCAGCCAAGTGCAACGAGGGCGGAGCAATCACAAGAGCAAAAACAAGAAGCCTCAATGGCGGGACAGCAACCGCAGGAGCAGCAGCAGCAGCAGCAGCAGCAGCAGCAGCAGCAGCAGCAGCAGCAGCAGCAGCAGCAGCATGGATTGCCAGGCCAAGTGGCGTTGGAGCGACCATTCTATGCGTACATATCAAATGTGTGCGTATCAAACAAATTCAGGCGACAAGGGATTGCTGCAGCTCTCATGCGTGCTGCAGCTGATGTTGCAGCAGAATGGGGTGAGATACAGAGGGAGGGGTTAAGCGCAGGCCATTACGTTTTTCATGCATGGGCTTCCTGTTCATGCACTAAAGAATTTCGCTGCTTTCGTATGTGCGTGTGTGTGGTGTGCATTTGTGTTTCTGTGCGTACCTCGAATCTGCCCTCCAGGTGCTGAAGAGGTATATGTCCATGTTCATGCATCAAACACAGCTGCACATCACCTCTACCACCAGCTGGGCTATCAGGTACGTCCACTTGCCAAACGCCTTTGTCAATTGTTACTGACTTGATGACAATTTTCAATGCACATACGTATTTCAATCCGTCTAACTATCGGTGGCTTGCCTGCTTCGTCCCTGTAATCTGTTTTCCATTCTACTCGTTTCCCCACTCTCAGCTTCTTGAAACCCCAGCAGCTCCCAGTGCACACATCTTTCCTGTGTGGAAGCCATCCGGAAACCATGTTTCACTTGATGACACCCTGCTGCTGCGGCTAGCACTCAGCCATGAAGCTCAGCAGCAAAGATGACTCCAGAGAACATCGGGGCTTGGGTCAGCCACATCATTGGTGCACTGCAACTTGTTTTTTTGTTACCGTATTCAGTTTCCTCGGTTGCAACCTTTTGGGGAAGTCCCTGGTTAGTGGTTTTTGATATAATTAATTTCATTTATTCTGCAATAGTTTCAGGAGAAATTCAGAGAGCAATTCCTCATACCCATGCAGCTTGGCAAAGCCTGGAAAATAATTGACATCTATAATGAAGAACCTGCTGGGGCATGTGACAGACCTCACAATGTCGACATTGAAAAGTCTCAACCCCAGCTGCTCCCGCAAGTGCTCCCCCAAAGCATCTGCCACTCCATCTGGCAGAGCTCCAGGCCAAAGGTCATCTGCACCCATCGTCAAGCTGCTGTCTGTGCTGCTGCCAGCGTTGGGAACGTGAGTAGGCTGAGGTATAGGAACATTTGATACCTGGGAAAATGGTAGACAACCAGGAGAAATATCTGCTTGGCATCGGGAAGGGGATACATCGGGAAGAGACGGGCGAACCTCACATCGCACGGATGAGCCAACGACGTAGAGCTTTGTGAGTCGGCTGCCGTGGTTTATAAATTGTTGCAAAACTATAGAGGGTTCCTTGCAGTCTGCATGCTTTTGAGCAGGTACGGAGGCAACAGCCGGGACACAAGTACCCATGGTATCAGCACCAGGAGCGACAGCAGCAGCAGCAGCAGCAGCCGAGGCTGGGGAAGTCGTGGTCGGAATGGCTTCAAGGGAATGAGCAAGTGCCATGAGGCCGTGAGTGTTGAAGACAAGAGAGAGGGAATGAGACGCAGTGCTGCCATTAGCTTCCACAGGCTTGGCCACCAGAGGAAAAGAGAGTCCATGACTCTGTAAAACGTCTTGCAAAGTCGAGGAGCCACTGAAGCCTTCTTGGGGATCTCCTGCTAGCCGCCTTAGCTCACTCAGAGTAAGCACCATCTGCTGAGGCACACATACGAAAAAACCAGGCACTATCTCCCATCTCCGGCCCTTCCCTTCCCCTCCCCCTTGTTGCCGACCTCCCGTCACTTCCATTCCCACTGCTGCCTTCTCTTCTCTTGCCAGCTTCGAGATTTCGGTGGCTTGACACGTGTCAGCATCAGGAAGCAGGCCTTGAAGCATAGACGCGCGGTTACAAACGCGAGCAATTCTCTCCGGCGGGTCCACAATTCGCCCAGCGAAAGTGGGAAACTGTTCAGCTAAGATCCGCAGCTGATCAGCCCATTCCGCCGTGAGCACCTTATGCACTACCGCATCAAACGGCGGTTTTTGCGGGACATCTGTGGCGTGCTCGTTTTCCTCGCTACTACTCCGGTACTCCAGAAGGTGTTGGGAAGGATCAACGGGGACGATTTCGATGCCCTTCGCGAAGCATGCGGCGATCAACGATGGCGTCAGGAAGGATCGCACCTTCTTCGGCGCGAAAGCGCATGCGACGCGGTACCGTGGCGGCGATGAACGGACGAAATCGCTTGTAGGGTCGCGAATGGGCAGAGTGTCCATTACACCAATAGCTAGAGGGCACTGGCGAAATTGGTGAATTGCTACAAAATTGATCCGTGAATGTGAGGTAGTGCAAATTTGGATGGAGTTCAACAATGCCAAAGCACATGACTTGTTGTCAATCGTAGGGCTTTGTTTTTGCTCATATAAGAAAACGAATGTTAAGGTGCAGCGATGTACGCGATTGTAGCTCTGAGGTGAAGCCCAACCGTGGAATACAAACATTCTAATTGAATCGACGGCTGTCAACGACTCCCGCGTTTTTGTCTGTGCTGCGGTTTCCGTGCAGCGCCCACGAAAAACACCCAGCTCTGTCAGGGCGTGTCCAGCGCGTTCATTTCGGGATTTTTAGAGCCCACACACGTCTCAGGGTTCAAGACTGACCACTGTACCTCAAAACGAATTCCAACTGAGCCGAGTCCACAGTTTCTGGAATTTCCAGCGCGCGGACACATTTCCACCCACACAAAGATCAACAGTGCGAAAACAGCCTGGAAACCGAGGTAGCCGGTTCCCTCGTGAACAGTAGGGTTAGCTTTTTCGCACATGCGCAATGTGTGTTGCCAGCGCGCAGGTGGTTTCGGCGAGAGTCGCGCGGCACTGGCGAAGTATTGCGAGCAATACGGGGGGGCACTTGCTGTAGCTTGTTGGACGCGATACTGTACCCGAGTTCGCGCGCACGCTGTATGCAGTACCGTGAGTCACACGACTCGAGGTACGTGCAGCTGGCGTGCCGTCTCATGTACAATTGTTGGTCATGTCCACCCTTTCAGTAAAATGCAGTGTTACAGCTCCAAATGTGGTAACTGATGGGATTTATGAACGGTAAATGTACGCGCTGGACACCCCCTCAGTCCGCTTGTGGCTGCTTCATGCAGGCACAGAATTTGGCTTTCTGTCATCCAGGCTAATTGCTCCCGCCATTCTGTGACAGGCTTCTTGCACTACTCTCGCGCTCTGATCTTCGCTTGCTTGCATCTTGTTCTAGCGTTTTTTGTCGCCGCGCCTTCCATGGCGGATATATTTGAGGAGGAGGAGGAGGAGGCGATGACGGCAGACGAGTACGAAGAGAGAGTCGAGGTGCGTGTCTCATTTTTCTTTACATAGCTCTGCTTCACGTACCAGTCTGATTCCTGTAGTAGACTTGTACAAATCCACAATATCGTGTGATCCATTAACCCATGTTGGACGCACGGCGCATGAACGTTATGCCTGCTACAGGAAGCTTTCGCGGTGCTCGGTGCGGATGATCCCGATAAGTGCACATACGATATGGGCTACCGTAAGCGACAGGCTCTCTATTCCTGCCTTACGTGCGTGCCTCCGCCCAAAATTCCAACTCCGTCCAAGGAAACTGAAGGAGGCGGTGGAGGAAGTGGAGGAAGCAGTCGAGAGGACCCACGAGGCATATTGCCTGATGATTGGAAGCCGGCTGGAATTTGCACTTCATGCTCACTGAAGTGTCATGATGGGCATGAGGTAATAATTGTTCCGTCACGTCTATTCCGCACCTTTTCCTCTCCAGGCAGCACTTTTTCTACAGGTCCGTCTCTCACACATACATCTCATTACTTGCCGTTTCCTCCCATTCGTTAGCTTGTGGAGCTCTATACGAAGCGCCGGTTCCGGTGTGACTGTGGCACATCCAGGTTTCAAGGGTCGGTTGTTCCTTCATGCCAGCTGAAACCTGAGAAAGATCTTTTGAACGAGCGCAACGAGTACAATCAGAATTATGCGGGTGTATATTGCAACTGTCGAAGGCCGTATCCTGATCCAGAGGCCGAGGCCGAAGGAGAAGAACCGGAAATGATACAATGTGTTGTGTGCGAAGATTGGTTCCATGAGCATCATCTGGGCCTTGAGCCGGGGTTTGAGGTATGCCTTACAAACGTGGTTAATTGTTCTGCCATGTGCAGCATCTATGGAATCCAACTTGCGTATCTGCCTTTTTGCAGGCTCCTGAAGAATTCTCGAACTTGATATGTGACCACTGCGCCTCCTTGAAGTGCCGTTTCTTGAAGCTGTATCCTCACCTCTTGCTAGCTCCAGAGCGTGCTGGTGACATTTCTTCATGTGGGAATGAAAGCAAAATTGGACTGGTGAGCAATGAGGAAGCGGATGCCAATGGGGACGAAGCAAGTATCGAAGTTCCAGGCATCAAAGTATGCAACGACGCAGTAGCCGCTTGTGGACATCATGCTGAGGATGTGGATGCTGTCAAACCTCAGGTCACTTGCTCATCTCAAGGAGGCGCTCTTGATGTACGTCCTGGTCCTGGTACAACGGTCGCAGACAGCGAAGCAGACTGCCAGCTAGCCTCTGTTTTGAGGGGGCGAACTCTAAGCTCTTTTTTCAAAAAGAAAACCGCGGGTGATTCAACAAGCACCACGAAGGTTGAACACTTGCCAACGGGTCCAAATGTCACTAATGGTTCAGTAGAGGCAACTACTGCAGTTCCAGACACTGACGCCCTTGCAGGCTCAGATGATTCTGAAGTCGGCCCTCTTTTTCTCACAGATGGGTGGAGGGCTTCCATCTGCAACTGCCAAAAATGCACCAGGTGTGGCTTTGATTAGGAATTTTACTCTTGATTTCTGTTCATGTCTAGGGGCTCATGTTCCATGCTGCTGCTCTTTCCAGATTTTACGAGGAGCAAGGGGTGGACTTCCTAGTTGACGTTGAGGATACTGTCGAATTCTACGAGGAAGAAGCGAAGAAAAAACGGCAACAAAAGGAGGAGGAAGCTAGTGTACAGGTTGAAGCTCAGTTTCAGAGCATGGACCGGGTTGCCCAGTTGGAGATCATTCATGGCCTGAACAGCTTCAAGTCCGATTTTCAGGAGTTTTTGGTAAGTCTGAACACCAGATTGCCATCATAGCTGAACCCTGTTCTTCTCTGGCAAGGTCTGCCAGCAGTTCAAAAGCCACATGTTGCCATTACAACCCCCTCCAATCCCCCTCCATCCTCTTCCGTTCTTCCGTTCTTTTCCTCCCTCCCCTCCCTTCCCCTCCCCTCCCTCCCTCCCCTCCCATCCATCCTCCCCCCTGCCCCCCTTCCCTCTCCCCCATGCAGGCAAAGTTTGCAGGTACTGATCATGTGATAACTGTTCAAGATGTCAAGCAATTTTCCGAGGAGCAGAAAGCGAAGCGCGTGCGTCATTCATAAGGCTATTGTACATATGGCTGGCTGGTATCATAAGAACTCACTTATCATGCATAAGGTTACATGCAATTGCTTAGCCTCATGCAGTACGCTAGAGGAATAGATGTTGGCATGTGATGCACCTTTTGAAAATTGAATCCTTGTTGAGTCCGCACCACAGGCACTTAGGACATATGACAGAAAATCCAGAGTGTCAAATGCAAGTGCAGGGTATAATATTCAATAATGGAAGATCACATATGCTACTATGATTTAGGGAAAGCAAAATGAGCACTAGGCTAATGCTCAGCTGAGACATATTCTGCTAATGTACAGTGAGCCTTAAACCGCTTCTCATTGGCAAGTGAATCCATGGCAGATGGAGAGCCAGATGATCAAAGCGAGCACCACCAGAATGCCAATTACAACAGCCTTCACCTTCATGTTCTCCCACCACATCTTTTTCTTGATTTCGGTCCCTTGCTTCTTGAATTGGCTAGCCTGCGCAAACCAATTCGGCAGAGCTCGAGTCAGGAGTTGCAACGTTATACATACCTTAGGAGCAAGCTTTCATGACTTTGACCCTACCTGAGTCGACAGAACGTCGGCCTTCTCCGCTAGAAGCTCCATCTTCTCGCCTCGTTGCAAAACCTGAAATACCAAGGTGGCAGGTAAGACCGGCGGCCAATGCTACGGGTTCCGGCAATCTATGAATGAAAGTGGCTCTCACCTTTTCAATGTTATCCTTCATCACACCCTTGACTTCAGCCACTTGTGCCTTAATCTTGGCGAACTTGCTCATTTCCTCAGGGTGCTCGGCCACGTACTTCATGTGCTCCTTCAGCTTCGGCCTGAATGTACGAATCGCGGAAGTCATTCAAATTTAGGAAGAAACGACAAGCATAAAGCCATAGCGGTAAAAGTGGAAAAGCTCACCCAAACTCCTTGTTCAAGGCATGGGCTCCAAGATTCGCAGCCTTGCTCGCATATCTGGCGTTGAAGTCATCCTTGATACGCTCCAGAAAGGCGAATATGATTTGCCGGGTGACGTCTTGGTCCGCAAGGACCATGTAGGCTGCAGATTCAGAATTCGCACGTTAAGACCACGGAGGAAACATATGTGCGAATTTCATCTACCGTAGATCCGATGAAAACCGTACCATATCCGTTCTCCAGGAGATAGTTTAGTGTGTGGCCACCATGCGGGAACGTAAATTTGTTATTCTCTTGCGGCATCTTCTCCAGGCACTGAAGGGCGATGGTGTTGAAGTTGCCCTTGAAAGAGGTATATTCAGCGAGAACTACCGTGCCCCTGGCCACGAACGAATAGATGAGCTGACCCATGGCGATTTCTCTCAGAGTCGAAAGAAAGGCACGAAAGCACGGAAGCTTCGTATGCCTTGATATCCCTGTGAAGAAGACGAGCACACTAAGCGGCCTCAGAAGCTAAGCTGCCTGAAAAGAAAATAGAACAAACGTGATGCTTGGTTGGAAGGGTGGAGATCTCTTGGGACCATGAAGCAGATGCAGAGGAAAACCTGGAGAATGTCGCCAGGAGACATCTGTGCCGTGTCCCAGGGCTCCCTGGAATCTGGCTGGGGGGCTCCTGCTACTGAACTGTTGGGCGCAAATATTCCCCTTCCGCGCCCTAAAATGCGCCAAGCGCGTTTCAGCGCTTCTGCTACAGTTCGGTGTGGTGTCGCCCTGTGTGTCAGGGGCCCAACAGCTGTGCGCGGGAAGCCTTGGTTGGGGCGCAGAGCGAATTGCAAAGTCTGCGCGCAGGCGCCTTTGGCTGGCACCGCTGAAGCTCTAGACCTCGTTATAGAAAAAACTTTTTGATGTAGGGAATCGGGAAACAGCTGGAATAATTAACAATAAAAATGTGATGAAACGTCATCAGAAGTTTGTGTCACAAAAGCATTTCATTTGACATTTATTGGCTGCTACCACTCCCCAGCCTTCCCAAACCATCATTGGCTTATTCCTACCTCTGGTGTTCGCTAGTAGTTTACAATAGGCACGCTTTTATTGCTCCTCATTACGCACGTTTCACCATACTCACGACGCCTCTTCTGCAAGGGATAGTAAGTTACAGCGACGAAAAACTCTTATCGTCGCCTTCGGCTTAGTCCCTTTCCCGTTGTAATCTCCGTGGGTATAATAATCGCTCGGCAGCCATGAGCGACGATCATGGTGGCACACTGGAAGCAGAACTGGAAACTCAGGATCCCAAGGCGCCCGACGCGGGATCGGACGATGAGGAGGACGAGGAGGATGCGGGAGGGGTGTCGGACGGGCAGCAGGAGGGTTCTGGCGGCGAGTCCAAAGAGGGAGGAGGGGAGACGGCGAACGGAACGGGGAAAAAGAAGAAGAAAAAGCAGGTGGGATCGGGGACGGAGAGAGCTTGTTGCCGACCGGTTTTAGAACGCATGTCCTCCAATTTCCGCAAACCCGAGCCTTGTCAATTTCAAACATTGTCTCCTATTTGTTTAACCTTTTATATTTCTTCTTTCTACCCTGCTTCCTTGGCGGCGTTTTTGCAGAAAAAGCGCAAGAAGAAGGGCGCGGGTGGGGGATCCAGTGACAGCGCCTCCTCGGGTTCCGCCTCCCCAGGCGCTTCTCCGCCCACCTCCCCTTCCGCCAATTCCGCGCCCTCCGCTTCGTTCCCCCCATCGTCGTCTGCGGATGCGCCCCTGTGCCAGCCGGACCTGGATGACATGCTTCCGGTTGAGGTGGCGGAAAAGAGGTGGGTCGTTTGGGGGAAGTGAAGGGGAGGGGAAGAGAAGGGGAAGAGAGGGGGGAAGCAATGGGGGAAGCGATGGGGAAGAGAGGTGGAAGAGAGGGGGAGGAGAGGGAAATAATAGGGGGAAGAGTGGGAAGAGCAGGGAGAAGAGGGGTTAGGAATTGGGAAGCTGCCAGGGTTATTCCTGCCTTGAGACTTAATAGAAGATTGTTTTTTTCTGCAACAATTGTTGTGTTGACTCAGAAATGAACAAGGTGCATGTTTTGCCATTTAAGGCTGCTTATTGTGGGCGCTGTTTTGCCCCTTTTAAACCAGCAACTCCCACCGAACCACCCCCGATCCAACCCCCACCCATTCTCCACAATCTCCCTTCCCCCTCCCCTTTTTTAGCTCTCTAATTCTCTCATTTTTCTGTTTCTTTTTTTCGTCCACTCTCAACGACTATTTTTTATCAGGTTTGCGGCAGCGCTGGAGTCGATGCGCAGCAAGGCGGATCTGTGCATGTGGGTGCAGCTAGCGCGGTGCCGTGTGGGCGACAAGAAGCTGCGCCGCCTCACAGACGCGCTCATCCACTGCGAGACAGTCACCTCTGTGGACTTATCAGAGAACCTTATATCGGATGCAGGCCTGCGCCAGCTCGCCTGCGCGCTCTCCGCCCCAAGCGCCGCCCCGGATTTGATTTCCCTGAACGTAAAGCGCAATCCGATTTCGGCTTCCGGGCGGGCGTGTCTGGCGAATCTGCAGGCTGTGAGGAAGCTAGTGAGGGTGAGTGGGGGTGGTGGGTGGGGGCACGGGGCTGTCCGTGGTATCATGTCATCTGGGCTTCTGACGCTATCACACACGCAAGGTCTTTTCAGTCTAGTGGGTTAACATCTTGTGAGCTATCCATCTTGTGATGCCAAGTGGGCTAACTTTGCCACACACAGGGTCACCTTGGCAATAATCTTGAAACAACTCAAACCCTGTTGATGCACCTGCTGATGTGCCTCCCGTGTGCTGCAGATAGAGTACGAGGAGAGCCCGCCTCCAGCAGCACAGGAGAAGAAGGGCGCGCAGGGAGGCAAGGGGCAGGGCATGGCGGACCCACGTGGCTTTGAAAGCGGGGAGCGGATGGGGGGGGGGTTGGCCAGCAAGGCGAGCAACCCACAGATCCGGGTGAGGCGAGTTGTGGTGGTGGGGATGGGCGAAGGTGAAAGTAGTGTAGGAACATGATGAATTGGGAGACATGGGTTTTGAGGAGTGGCATCAGTGCAGATGACCGTTGGGTAGTGGGGCCAGACAGGCCTCTCATTCACTCTTGTTCACTCTCCCCCGCTGTCCCCTTCCCACGCAGATTGACGCGGCCGTCCGGTTCATCAGGGAAGCATCCGAGAAGCTGCAGCAGATGGCACCTGAGGGCAGCAGCAGGCGGAGCATAGCGACACGGGTGTTTGATTCGAGCATGATGACGGAGGCACTGGAGGACGTGGTGGAGCTCGTGGATGCTGACCTGCGCCGCAACCCCTCAAAGTCCTACCACAACTCGCCCATCAACAAGCTTCCCTTAGTGAGACCCTGGTGACAGGTTGGTATGTTCCAGGGGCCTTCAGGCTTTGGTGGTTGTTGAGGTGCCTGGAATAAAGCTCGTGGATGCTGACCTGCGTCGCAACTCCTCCAAGTCCTACCACCAAGCTGCCCCTCAACAAGCTGCCCCTCGTGCACACTCCTGACACCTTGGCTTGTTGTGCTGCTCACTACCACCTCGTTTTGTTGTTCTGCTGCCTGCGTAGCTGCCATGCCCTCCTGCTTCCTTCCATGGCCCTGCCAGCCACCATCCATATTCTCACTTCCATGTTTCTGCTGCTCCTGTTCCCGTTTTCCCCATGCCCAGCCGCTGCGGCTGGTGGTGGAAAGTCTACCGACGTTCGCCTCCCTGCTGGAGCTACCCATACCGCCCCAGCAGTGCCAGCGCAAGCTGGCAGAGCCAGCAGCGGGGCGGCACCGCATCCTGGCGGTGCTGCTGCTGCGCAAGGTGCTGGGGGCGTGTGGGCGCGTGGTGGATGACCGGCTGGCACGGGAGGACTTGGGGCGCAAGGTGGCGGCGCTGCTGTTTGACTTCCCCTGGAGCAACGTGCTGCACCACGGGGTCTGCTGCTTCCTCATGGTACGTGACTGTTGCTTGCCCATAGTGTGTGCTTCTGTTGTGCAAGGCACAAGGTGCTGGGGGCGTGCAGGCGCGTGGTGGATGATAGGCTGGCAAGGGAGGGCGTGGGGAGGAAGGTGGCGGCGCTGCTGTTTGACTTCCCCTGGAGCAACGTGCTGCACCATGGCGTGTGCTGCTTCCTCATGGTACGTGCTGCTTCCTCATGGTACGTGCTGCTTCCTCATGGTATGTGCTGCTTCCTCATGGTACGTGCTGCTTCCTCATGGTACGTGCTGCTTCCTCATGGTACGTGCTGCATCCTCATGGTACGTGCTGCTTCCTCATGGTACGTGCTGCTTCCTCATGGTACGTGCTGCTTGCTCATGTATCAGTCGTGTTGCCTTGGGCCCCGCCCGCTTCCCGTATCCCTCTTCCATTTCCACTGCAATGTGTAGCACCTGCCCTGTCTTCACTCCTCCAAACCAAGCGCCTTGCCATTCTTCGTTCATCAGTGCTTCTCTCACAATCCCAGATCGTTCCGCTCTTCCCCCATCCGCCCCTCCATGGTGCGTCCATTCGCCAGTCCGCCCTGGAGCGTCCCAACTCATCCCTCTCCTCGTCTCTCCTTGACCCTCCTCTTTCCGATGACTCCTCCTCCTCCACATCATCCACCATCACTGCTCTCTCCTCGTCGCCGGCTCTGCCCTCCTCCTCTCCACCTGCTGCCACGACCAGTGCCACCACCACCACCGACAGCACCACTGCTGCTCATGCTGCTGCAGTTTCCGAATCTGCTGCTGCGTCTGCTGCTGCTGCTGCAGAGTCTGCCTCTTCCGATCCCCCCTCCACCTCCCCTGATACTCCGCCCACAAGTGCAGGGGGGGACGAGGGGGCAGTGAGGAAGGCCCGGGGGAGCGGGCAGGGGGAGGGGGAGGCGGACCCCCGTCCCCAGGTGGATGTAGAGCCAGAGGCCAAGCGTGGGCGCGTGAATGGGGAGAAGGGGGAAGCAGGAGGGAAGGGGGGAGCAGAAGAGGAAGGGACAAATAAGGTAGCAGAGGTGACGGGTGGTGGGGCGGAGGAGGGTGGTAGTGGGACTGTTGATAGCGAGGCTGTTAGTAATGAGGTGGAGACGGTGGAGAGGGAGGGCCCAGGAGAGGAAGAGAAGGGGGCAGAAGATAAGGGCCAAAACGAGGACAAGGGGAAGGGGGATAAACGGGAGGAAGGGGAGGGGAATAGCAAGGGGGAGGGTGAAGGGGAGAAGCAGGCAGCAGCGTCAGCAGCGGCATCAGATCCAACAGGTCCTTCAGGGCCACTGGCTCTGCCTGTGAGGCTGGCAGTGACGGCGGCTCCCTGGGTCAACACATCCATTGGCCAACGACCCGGGTACACCTTGCTTGCTCTGGTTCCTACCTCTGTGTGGCAAGCATGAATTGTGTCGATTCTTGAATACTTGTTGGGTTGAAATTCTTGCTAGGCTGGCCTGTCTCTATCTTTTAGTCTGCTTACTTGTGTTTGCATGTGTGGTCTTATGCTCATTGTGATTTCTTTCTTATGTGTATGTGTGCGGGGGCTGTGTGTGTGGGGGGAGGAAAGAGGGAGGGGGGGTGCATGCGTGTGTGTTTGTTGTGGGTGTATGTCTGTGTGTGAGAGTGTGTGCATGTGTACCTGTGTGCATGTGTGCGTGTGTGCATGTGTACCTGTGTCCATGTGTGCGTGTGTGCATGTGTACCTGTGTGCATGTGTGCATGTGTGTGGTGCCGTTTCACAGGCATGCAGGCCCAATCATTCAGCTCATGTTTGACATTAGGGGCAGAGCAACCACCAGTGCGCCACTGCAGGTATGCACCCTCACTCTCAACCTCTGCACGTGTGCACCCTCACTCTCAACCACTGCGCGTGTGCACCCTCACTCTCAACCACTGCACGTGTGCACCCTCACTCTCAACCATTGCACGTGTGCACACCTCTCACTCTGCACATCTCTCACTTCCCCCTCTCATTCCCCCTCCCTTCCCCCCTCTCCCTCCCCCCTTCCGTCCCCACCCATGGCAGGCGAAGCTAGAAAAGCTGCCAGAGTGGCAGGTGTTTGCCCAGGCAGGGGGGCAGCTGGACGAGCTGCTTTCACAGCAGCACGGTGCTCTGTGTGGGCCCAAGCCAGTGGTGCCGGGCAGTGATGTGCCTGACATGGGTGCAGGCAGTGGCGGGCAAAGCATGCTGTTTGGGGAGCCCGACCTGCCACCCTCTGTGCTTGGGAAACTGAGGGCCATCTATCTACAGTGAACATAAGGTGTGGTAAACCGTGTGGTTAATAGGTAAGTACGCTTTGTGCCGCAACTTGGGGTGCCAAGCACTTTTTTAATGAGTCTGAAACGAGTGTGAAGCGGTTTCTTGAGTTCTGCGGATAGTATTTGTGAAATGCCGTGTGCTTCGTGAGAGATTGGATTTGTATCTCGTGTGAAGAATGGTTTACACAATCGAACACTGTATACGCGGAATAGTCTTAACGTGATGCGCGTCCACTGTGGATGCAACTCTTGCACTTCGTCTCCGCTTGACTAGCTTGACGAATGCTGCTTCTGATCTGACCTGGCAGCGCACATCCGTCCGTATGACCCCAGTGGCTCACCACCTCCTTCACGAGCGACTTGAGGGAAAACTGAATGTGTTGTGCGTCAATTGTTGACGGAGCAGTGCCAACGGGAAACAAACAAAGCTGGGAACGGCAATTTGCTCGTCAGAGATCGCTTGCAAACAACGCGACTTTCTCGCGAAAGACCCCGAGCCGAGCGGGAAGACTTATGTGCAAATGCAGGACTGCTGTTACCTTTTCCTGCACGAGCGACCATCCACCCACGGACACAAGGAGAAAGACAGCAGACCTGGAATAATAGCCGTGTGAATATTTGCTTGATTACTGTGGCCCTGTGCCCTCTCCCCGCATCATCCGTTAGTTTCCACTACGCGCGTCCGCCATGGATTTCCACCTTGAGACAACAGATAGCCAGCAAATTCTCGGAAGCAGCGTTTTGCTCTCACGCGCTGCTTCCGAGCCCTGTTCTTCCGCCAGATATCGCGCCGAGGATCCCGGTGGACCGCCGTATAAAACTCGCCGTATCCGCTCAGGAGCAATAGCACCAGCAGCCGACAGTCCCATGGCGGCAGCGTCAGTGGCGGCGCCGCAAGAGCCGGCGGTGATGGCGGTCCGAATCAACCGGCCGGACCTGCAGTCTTTGACGGACGTCGTTAACGCTGACGGCCACGCGTGGCTGAAGTACGGCGAGAAGCGCATTAGCAAGAACACTGTCATGAGGTACCTTACATGCTTTTGCTTATGCTTATGCTTATGCTTATGCTGATGCTGATGCTGATGCTGCTGCTTGTCCGCTCAACAATCTCGATGACCCCTGCCCCTCGCGTTCTTCTCCCCCCATGCCCACTGCCGCTACATCCCCGCAATACCATTCTCTTCTGATCTTACTGAATCTTCAACCAATCTTATACTAATCGATCCTTTGCCGTCTCGCGTCGATTCCGCCAGGTCTTATTACAAGTGTTCGTGGTCGCGAGCTCGCAACCCGTGTCGCGCCACCAAGACCGTCGATTTCGACCCCAAGCGCCCGCAGCTCACGGTGGTTCGCGCGCGCTGCGCGCACAACCACGAGGCCGGCGCCTCCTGCCCTCGCCCCGCCGCCGCCCGTCGGGTTCCCCCGCCCCTAGAAATCTCCCGCGCCTCCCCTTCCGCCCTCCGCGCCAGATTCTCCGCCAACGTAGCGAGGGAAACTCGCGGCGCTGCAGCTGGCGAAAACTGTTCGCCGGTTTCGCAGCAGTTCGCCAGCACTGGCAGTCAACCGGCGACCCGAAGTTTGTGGTCGCCCATATCGATTGACGATTCGCCCATTGGACCGTTAGACGCGGCGCTAAGCGCGGCGATGTCGCTCCGCAGCAGCCCCGCGTCCAGCCCTCTCGCGAGCCCTCTCAGCGTGGGCGCACCCTGCGACGCATGCGACAGGGCGAGTGCCAGATCGAGCGACAGTGCGAGCGACAGGGCGAGCGAGAGGGCGAGCACGGCTGCCTACATGGTGATGGGGCTTGGCGAGAGTGAAGCACTGCGGGGGAATGTGGAGGAGGAGAGCCGGCACGTCACAGACATGGCGATGACAGGAGGGGCGGCACGCGCTGGCTCCACTCACACGAGTGCCGGCGCTGCTTTCTGTGGCGCCGGTGCTGCTGCCTGCTTCCCTGTGCTCGCCGCGATGCTCCCTGCTGCAGCAAACGCCACGGAGAACATCGCAGCGACTGCTGATCCGTGGAGTGGCAACAACAGGGTGGCAGTGAGCGCGCGAGTATCGGAGCTGCATACAACGAGGATGGGCAGTCTAGTTCGAGCAGACGGCTTGGCGTGGGGCGGCCACGGAGGAGGAGAGCAGGGGGGCGTGCGGGAACATGCAGACGGTGCTGCCCCCGCTGCTGCTGCTGCCATGGCTGCCGGTCCAGCCCGTGCCCGCATCAGTGCATGTGCTCAAGGAACTTTTCTCATGAGCCGGCGCTGCTGCAAGCAGGAGGAGCAGGGGGAGGATGAGAAAGGGGAGGGGGAGCACCTGTCGCTGGACCTCTCACTCAGCGCCCCTGGGACGTGTCAGGGCCAAGAGACGGTCGGGCGTGCTGCATGCGCGAGGGACATCAAGGCATGGGGGAGAGAGGAGCCTGTGGCTGGCACTACCGGACAAGCGGCCCTTGTGCAGCCATTGCCTGCAACACAAGCAGCACCACCGCAACCACCAGCAGCGACAGCAACAGCAGCAGCAGCAGCAGCTGGTGCTACTGCAGCAGAAGCAAAAGCGGCATTCTTGCCAGGGCCATTGCTTGGGACCACAGGGAGCTGCTTTGCCTCACAAGCTGTCCCCAGCCTTGTGGCAAGCCCACATGACCTCTGCCTGCCGCCCCTGACTGCCGCCACTGGTGCTGGTCCTATGGAGGAGTGCCTTGCTGCGCCGCCACCCCTGCCGCCGCCGCTGCTGCAGCAGCAGCTGCAGCTTCCACCACGACAGCCGTGTCCGCTACCTCAGCCGTGTCAGCCGCAGAGTCAAGGCCAACAGCAGATGTGTTTGGGGAGACAGCGAGATGTTGGTATGATAGATAGTAGAGCGTGCGTGGTGCTGGCAGCTCTTCTGCTCCAAGCTGCTGCTAGCCACAGGCAGCCACTGAGGTGACCTCTGCTGTCACCACCTGTGTCTGGTAATTCGGACACGGATGTAAAGTCTTCATCATCATTATTACCTATGGTTCGCATGTATGAATTTATTCCATGATCCCCAAGCTACGGGTAAATCATCTTACTTTTATGTGAAGATGTTTTGTTCTAGAACCCGCAACTGTGCTGCCTCCAGTATATCGAGATGCGTTTAAACTCAAAACTGAATTGGGGTGGACTTTGTTCGCAACAAATGCAATAAGCTCAGCACGATTCCCGTTCATCAATCCGAGGCCGGCAGAATGGCCGCGTGGCACCGAGGCGCCACGCGCTCCGACCAGCGGCCACGTGTCGACCCCGAGGAGTGCATGCGTGCGTGGCGGTCGTTTCTCGCGGCGCTCGGCGCGCCGAGCAGCCTAATGCATCACGACACGCAGATCAGGCGAGTTTTGTCTCCACCCTCGCGCATAGTAATCAGGCACCACATAGTAATCTCTCTCTTACACCTTCGCGCGCTCCCTTCCTTCCGCTTCCACCCTTCCACTCCCTTCCTTCCTCTCCCCTCCTTCCGCTCCCCTCCTTCCTCTCCCCTCCTTCCTCTCCCCTCCTTCCGCTCCCCTCCTTCCGCTCCCCTCCTTCCGCTCCCCTCCTTCCGCTCCCCTCCTTCCGCTCCCCTCCTTCCGCTCCCGTCCTTCCGCTCCCGTCCTTCCCCTTCCCTGCTTCCACTACCCGCCTTCCGCGCCCGTCGTTGCGCTCCTCACCTCCGCCCCGCTTTGCTTCTCAGCTCCCGCCCCACCTCCCCCTTACCCTGTCCGTGCCCTCCCCGTATTCTTCCAGTGGATCGTTCCGCCCTTTCCTCCGCCCGTTTGCGCTTGGCGCGCTGATGGGCTCCCTGCTTGTCACCATCTCGCTTCTCTCCGCCAATCCCCCCCGCGCTGACCCCTCCGCGGCTGTAGCTTCCGCCAGTGGAGCGGGGGGCGCGGGGACGTTGGGGGTAGCGGGCGCAAAGGGGGATGCAGAAAGTGGCGCAAGCTACACGGGACCCCGGGAAGGGGAGTTGTTTTTGCGCGGTGATGTAACGAGCGGTGTGGTAACCAGCAATGTGGTAACCATGTCATCGTCAGGAGGGGCTCTAGATGCAGTTGATTCTCTGCCGGGCCTGTCGGAGGGGTTCGGCTTGGCACTGACGGACCTGGAGCAGAGGTACGGAACTGCAGCAAAGGTTTGGTTTAGAAACACTCACCTAAGAGTCAGTACAGTGTTTAGGGTGAAGCGAGGGGGATTGAGGGGTTGTGGTAAGTGGGTTTTCGAGAGGAGGGAGTGACAATGGTGGGTGTGGCGAGGGTCTAGGCAGGATTGACTGCAAGCAAGCACATGCATGCGCCTATCCTTTCTCATTCTATCCTTCCTCTCTTCCCCCCACCTCCCCCTCCCCCCAACACGCCATCAACGCCTGTACAGAATGGTTCATTGCGGTTTGAATGTTTCCCCCTCTGCCCGTGCTGCATCTCCCTTGCGCACACGTCTTCCTGACCCCAACACCCCCAGGGACCCCACGCGCCTGGCGCTCCAGCTCAGCAACCGCCAGCTGGCAGCGCTGATCGCTGACGTGGCGCAATGGCGGGCGAGGAGCGGTGCCAGCATGGACCGCGTGCTGAGCGCGGCCAGGGAGGTGGGGGGTGTTGGGGGCGAGGGGCGGCCAGGGAGGTGGGTGCGGGTTGGGGTAGGGGATGAGAAAGAAAATGCGTTTTTTCGGTGTCTCAACAAAACCAGACTTGTTTAGCCAGGAAGTGCATGTGGGGCGAGGGGCAACGGGGACGTGCGTGGGGGAGTATGGGGTGGGGGAGTGTGGGGTGGGGGAGTGTGGGGCTTCTCGTTTCATTGGAGGGTGATGTTCTTTCCTCTTGTCTCGATTTGCCTCTCCCCTCTCCGCCTCCTCTCTCGTCCTCTCCCCTCTCTCCGCCTCCTCTCTCGTCCTCTCCCCTCTCTCTTCTTCTCAACAGGAGCTCCGCACCCTCCTTGCTTCTCCGCCCTCCGCCATCCAACTCGTTCCGCCCTCCTCGCTCCCCCTCCTCCTCTCCTTCCTCCGTCCCCCAACACCTCTACCCACCCCACTGCCGCCGCCCTCTCTGCTGCTCTCACCGTTCTCCTGCCCATCTTACCTGCTTCCGTTTCCTCCCTCACTGCTGCTGCCGCTGCTGCCCCTGCTGCTGCTTCTGGGGACGCAGGAGGGGGAGAGGGAGGTGAAGGGGGAAGGAGTGGGAAGGCAGGAAGGGAAGGGGGTGTGTGGAGGGGAGGAGTGGACGGCATGGAGAGGTGCATGGCGCTCATGTGTCAAGTGGAAAGGCAGCAGATGATGTATGCTCGAGGTGATGTATATACATGCATTTATTGATGATGTATATGCATGCATTTACTAATGATGTACATACATGCATTTATTGATGATGTACATACATGCATTTATTGATGATGTATATACATGCATTCATTGATGATGCATGCGTGCACACAGTGAGTGATTACCCGCCATATGCCTCCTCCTCTCTTCCTTGTCTCACCACCACCACCTGCCACATACTGCTCATCTCCCCTCCCCTCCCACCCTCTATTATCTGTCTATTTTGCGGCCACTGTTCTCTGAAACTCCCGATGTGCACCACATCCTTACCACCACCACCTGCCATGTGCTGCTCATCTCCCCTCCCCTCCCACCCTCTACTATCTCTATCGTTTGCTGCCTCTGCACCGTGAAGCTTGACTCCACTGTGAATCACGACAGGCCCACTGTGCTCACCTCTCGTGATTCCTTCATCTAAAAGCCAATTCTACAAGCTGTCAGCTGTTACCCTTGACTGAGTCTCAAAGGGCATCTCTCGCCTCTGTGTACTCGCCCAGTAGACCACCCGACTCACGCATCATCTGCTCTGCTCCCTCTGTGCACACGGCAGCAAGGGAGGAGTATGACGAGTTGGTGCGCGAGAGAAGGGCGTGGGAGGTGGTGGGGTTGCATTGGGAGTGGGTGGAGGCGCGGAGAGAGTGGATGGGGCCTGCTCGCAGCACCATGGAGGCACTTCAGCGCCTCATGAGCATGCCGCCCGGTTCAGGTGGGTTTGAGATGTCTCAACACACATGCGCGCAACACCATGGAAGCACTTCAGCGCCTCATGAGCATGCCACCCGTTCAGGTGGGTTTGAGATGTCTCAACACACATGCGCGCAACACCATGGAAGCACTTCAGCGCCTCATGAGCATGCCACCCGGTTCAGGTGGGTTTGAGATGTCTCAACACACATGCGCGCAACACCATGGAAGCACTTCAGCGCCTCATGAGCATGCCACCCGGTTCAGGTGGGTTTGAGATGTCTCAACACACATGCGCGCAACACCATGGAAGCACTTCAGCGCCTCATGAGCATGCCACCCGGTTCAGTTGGGTTTGAGATGTCTCAACACACATGCGCGCAACACCATGGAAGCACTTCAGCGCCTCATGAGCATGCCATCCGGTTCAGGTGGGTTTGAGATGTCTCAACACACATGCGCGCAACACCATGGAAGCACTTCAGCGCCTCATGAGCATGGTTCAGCACCATGGGTTGCAGTATAGTGAGTGTGGTGGCTCAGGCACAAGCTGCCCTGCTTAGGTGGGTGAGGACTTATGAGCCACCGCACTTACTACAGTGGGTGAGCATCGCATGCACATGCCACCTGCTTGCTTTGGGGTTTTTTTGAGACGTCTCGAAGAATTACCTATCTACACGTATGCACATGCCACCTGCTTGCTTTGGGGTTTTTTTGAGACGTCTCGAAAAATTACCTATCTACACGTATGCACATGCCACCTGCTTGCGTTGCGTTGGGTGCATTGGGGCAGCCCTGGCCTGGGGAAAGCCTTTGAGTGGGCGGGCCTTTGTATGAGTCGCCTAAAGAATGGACAGCCATTCTACCCCTGCCCACTTTCCTCCTCCCCGCTGCATCGTTCCCCTGCATGCATACTCCGCACGCTCTTTGCGTGCGTCCGCTGCGACCCTGTATCGCTCTCTTCCTGAGACTCATCAAGAATGTAAAACCCCACTCACCCCATTTCCCTCCATTTATCACCCCCCGTGCATGCAGGCATATTCCGCAAGCTCTTTGAGTGCATCGTCTGACTTGCGCCCCTACGTCGCTCTCTTCGTGAGGCACCTCAGGAATAGGCAACCCCACTTCCCCCATGTCCCTCCCTTCTCCCTTCCCTTGTTCATCCCCTGCAGGCATATTCCGCAAGCTCTTTGACTACATATTCTGGCTGCGCCCCTACGTTGCTCTCTTCCGCTCCATACCCACCCCCGCACTCTCCTCCCTCTCATCCCTCCGCCTCTCCTCCATCCGCTCCTCCCTCTCCCTCGACGGGCGGCAAGCAGCGTCTACTCTCAATGCTGCCCGCTCCTCCCTCCTCTCCTCCCTCCGGACTCTCTCCTCCCGCTGCGGTGTCGACGCGGGCGGGGAGTTTTGGACTGACATGCATGATGCCGCCCTGCAGCGGTACCGGTGGGTGGCGGAAGCGGCGTTTGACAAGTGGTGCGTGGATTGGGCGGCGGTGGGCGGTGGGTATCGGCAGCGTGCGGGGATGGTGGTTCCTGGGGAGGTGTGGAGGAGGGAGGGATTGCATGGTGGGGGGATGGAGAAGGATATAGAGAAGGGGTTGAGAGGGACGGGGGGGAGTGAGAGCGAACGAGACCTGGAGAGACAAGGGAAGGGAGGAGATAAGGGGGCGGTGAGGGCAGACGAGGGCGGAGGGGGAACGGAGGGGCAAGAAACGCCAGAGGCGAACGCGAGGAGGAGGGAAGGGGAGAGAGCAAGTGTGGGGCGGATGGGGCCACAGCCGGAGTTCTCCTTCTTGCTCCTACCTGACCCACTCTCCCCGCCACCGGCGGTGGGGAAGGGAGGGGGGTTGGATGCGCGGGCAGTGGTGGAGGTGGTGGTGGGGTGCATGCGGCATGTGGGGTTCAATGCCTCGGGCAGTGGGCTGGGCGTGCCTGCAGAGCTGCTCGTGCTGCTGGGCGTGGGGCGAGAGGGACAGCGTGGGCAGGCTAAGGGGCTGGGCGGGGTGATGGGGCAGGGAGGAGTGGAGAATGGGGAGGGTGGGGAGGGTGGGGAGTGGGAGCGGGTGGCGGCATGGAGCCAGGCAGCGTGGGCAGTGGAGGAGCAACGACTCACTGTGTTGCCCGTGGTAGTGCCTTCGTCAGCGTCAGCATCAGCAGCATCAGCAGCATCGACGTCGGCACCATCAGCTTCGGCACCACCAGCATCGGCGTCAGCGTCGGCACAACCAGCATCGCACAAGCAGCATTAGGGCTCCATGCCTCTTTTTCTGCCGCTCCTTTCGCCTCAGATTCTGTGAGATTCGATTTTCTGGCCCGGGCGGCAAGGGGGAAGGTGCTGGTGCTGCTGACAGGGGCGAACGCAGAGGCGGTGGTGAGGAGGGCGCAGGGGGGCCTGGGGCAGGACGCTGGGAGCTGTGAGTGGCTGCTGGCGCTGCACAGCGCGTTTCAGGGGGATGCCAGGCTGGCTGTGGCTGGGTTCATGGGAGGAGAGGGTGGAGGAGAGGTTGGGAGGGATGGGAAGGGGTTGGAAGGGGGGGGGGATGGGAGGGGAGGGAGTGGGAGGAAGGGTGGTGGTGGTGAGGCTGGGTGGGTGGTGTGAGAGAGGGAGGAGTGGAACAGTGGATGAGGGAGTGGGGCGACTTGGGCAGGGAGTGGCACAGCGCTGCCAACCTCACAGGCCCCAGCAGCAGTGGTAGCAGCACCCCGCCCCCTTCCTCTGACCTACACGGGTGGGTGCAGGGCACACCTCTAGCCGTCCGCCGCTCTGCCCTCCTCTCCCTGGGCTCGCTTGGACCCCTGCATGGGGGAGGGATGGGGGGAGCAGGCGAGGGGCAGGGGGTGCGAGAAGCAGCAGCAGCAGCAGCAGCAGCAGCAGCAGCAGCAGGGTAGGAGCGTGGGTGCTGTGTGTGAGGGCGTGGCTTGCAGGGTATCGTGTGGGGCTCGTCCGCTCACCCTCTGCCGAGTTCCTCTTTCCAAAGCATGATGCTTCTGGTGCAGGGTCTAGGGTGGGTGGGGGAAGCAATAATTGGGGGAACGTTGGGGTGGGAAGTGGTTCGGGTGCTGCTGCAGGGTTACACGAGTTTGCTGCACTTGTCGCTCCTTATATGCATGCTGCGAAAGAAAGAATAGCCGTCTTGAATTCACACTAATTACAGAAACCAGATTGTACAATTCACCATTACATATGTGATGAACTGTAGAAGTTCCCAGACCTCCTATCCTGTATCCCTTACATGTTCCATATACGTAAATTTATTTCCTCTAATACACCACACCATTCCCCTACTTGGATCCTAGGCTGTCACTAACAAGATGTTTCAGCCCTACCCTATCTCACCTCAGCATCTAAATCAGCCATGCAGTCAGATAAGGTATACTACTATCTAAAAAAATGCTGTGCATGTCAGATGGTGGGTGATGGGTGGGGATGATGGGTGGTGGTGATGGGTGTAAACTGCTGAAACCCAGATGAATAGGCACCCACTGCTGACCCAAGCATACGGCTAGCGGAAGGTGCACAGCACAAGGCCGACAAAGAGCCGAGCGTTGGTGCACACGTAGCCGTTGTTGAGAGAGGCCATGCGGCGTGTGTTGTATTGGAACTTGAGGGCTATGATGCGCGCACAGAAGTCCCCCCTCACCACCGTGTACGACGCCTGGCACCGCCCCCTCCTCTGCAACGGCTGCACTTGCTGCTGCTGCAGCAGCTGCTGCTGACCTTCTGGCTGTTGGCGCTGCTGCTGCTGAGGCAAGCTGTGTGCGGAGAGCAGGCCAGAGGTGTGAGAGGAGTAGAGGAGGGAGTGGTGCTGTGTGGTGAGGAGGTCCGTGAATGCTGCGTTGTAAGGCATGGCCGATGTGTCTCGGGGCGCGAGATAGTTTATTGTTGCGTTGAATGCCGCCTTTACACAGATCTGAGGGGCAGGCGGGCAGGGGAGAGGGGTGAAAGGGAGGACAGAGGGGTGGTGGTGGGTGTGAGAGAAGTGGAGGGAGGGGTGGTGGGTGGGTGGGGTGTTGGTGGTGGCTGTTGTACGTGTGGTGGAAACAACCAACTCTCCTCAACAAAAGCATCTACCCTTTGATCATGCGTCACTCACACCAGCCCACCTGTGCACCACACGAGCCCACCTGTGCGCCACTGGGGATGGAGTTCTGTCCATCGACGGTGGCAGCGGGGTAGAGGTTGGCGCAGAAGACACCAGGGTTGAGGGCGAAGAAGGTGGACCAGGAGAGCGAGTACTGCTGCTTGATGCTCCTGCACGTGTCCGGGGGCGCTATCACGTGATACTGCGCACACAGCGGGATGGCCAGGCCGCTTCCCTCCCGCACACAGATCTGCAGGGGAGGAGAGGGAGAAAGGAAGGAGGGAAGGAGTAAGAATACGGGTCAGGTTGCAAGCAGCTGTGTTGTGAGCGATATTGGTCG